TGCCACCACTGCTGCTGTTGCTATCACTCAACCTTCCACTACTGTTGAAACACTCAATGAGGTCATACCCAAAACCTCTGCGGCCTTACACACTCAATCCTTTATTAATCAACACCTCTTCCAGGCCTTTTCTGTCATCCAACAACACATAGACCTCCTCAGGGAGGAGATGGTGATCATCAAACAAATGATGCTAATGGCCTGTGACCCTCAGTTCAAAGTCCTGTGTCTCACACCTTACAAAGTAGATAACCTCACTAGGGCCAGGATGGAACTCTCACAGTACATCCATGGCCACTGGAGCCAAAAGTTTCTCAACTACTCCACCTTGCTCACTGACCAGATCATCTCCCTAAATTATACACGGGCTCAGATATTAGATATAAACTCTGGGTTCTTCAACAAAATTTGGTCGAACTTAAAAGCTTTGTTTGACCCTTCATGGATCGTTACTTATTTATTCTTGGGTGTCTTAGTCTTAGTTCTTTTCTTACTCATAATATGCTTTATCTATGCTTCTGCAGACAAAACCAAGTAAATTACTCAGTGTATCAGGTTCTCAAGACACTCAAGGATCCAGACTTCGACCCCCATCCCCCCGCCCCGAGGTCTGGCAGGTCTGGCTTGCTGGTATCTGAGAAGCAGTTGTAAAACTTCTTGCCCTCCTCCTCCCTCACATGGTCATGCCAGAGGTCACACCCTTCAAGGGCTGGTAGTCAATGACGGATGATGGGTAAGATCCTGGTGGTCAGGAAGACCTAAGATAGGCACAGTCCATCAAGCTGGGTGCCCTCTGAGGTGGGGTCAACTATGTCGAGGCAAAAAACCTCGGCTCCCACTGACCTTTCTATAATAAAAAGGGATGGATATATAGGAGGTGAAGTGCCAGACCTGAGCATAGACTGCACTACAGAGCACAGCTTCCACCTTGAGAGCACAGCCCACGCTTCCGCAAAAGAGCCAACCTATAATCTGTCCCCAGACCTAGAAACTGATGATGCAAGTGGCCTGGATGAGGGGATCTATCAGGGAGTGACACACCAGCTTATGGGACACTTGGGGCAGGGGGAGAGATATATAAGGCCTGCCCTTCCCAGAAATAAATGAGTCTGCAGCACCTCGCTTAGTGCCTGCTTCCACCTGACTCCTGGTGTCTGTGTGTTGACTCCGCACCGCTCACCCCCACCTTGGTCAGAACCCTCGCTCCCTGCGGTCTGTTGTGGGCTGGACCCTCAAGAAAACATGCAACACTAATTCCTTCATGATTTAAGAAAATTCACATGCCTACCCACAAGCACTTGGCAGAGGAGCCATACATATTTGTTGATTGCCTTTATGAACTATACTACACTGTTAAGGAGGCTGATTTGATTGTTTAGTCTCCTATCTTTTTTGGTCTTTCTTTTGAGACAGGGTCTCCCTGTAGCCCCAGCTGGCCTGGAACTCACTATGTAGACCAGGCTGACCTTGAACTCACAGAGATCTGCCTGCCTCTGCCTCCCGAGTGCTGGGATTATAGATGTGCATCACCACACCCAGCAAGACTCCTATCTTATTCAGGAGAGATAATTTATGTATTTTACAGTGTCTTGTCTTTCTTGTCTGTTTCCTACTGACCAAAATATGAGAGTTTTGTTGGACATCAGCACCATGCCAATTTATCAAACTGAAACCAGCCAATTTCTCTGGCAAAGGGCTGTTGAAGACAAATAACAGCAGAATGTTTGATGCTAAAAATAGATACTATTTGGATTGCCTGTATATTTTCGTCATAGACTCAGCTTACTTGCCATTATTAGCAATGGGTCATTTATAGTTGGCTGACTGGTTTTCCTCTGGCTTTCATGTTCTATCATCTTTCAAGTGAATTTGGTCAGGGCTGATACTAACAAATTGACTTCTAGCCTAGTCCCATGATAACATTCCAGAGTACAACAAGCAGAAGAACAACCGAGAACCATGGAGTGGCATCTTTCTCTGTTTTGAAGACTCATCTTGAGACAAAGCACCTGCATGTCCATGGTCATAATGTGATGTTATTAGATACCCTAATGACAGAGTCCAACCTGCCAACTTGGGTGAAAAATGATCTCTTCAATGGCTTTCATTTTTAAATTTTTATCTGATTCTTTTTAATTCTGTTTTTTTTTTTCATTTCTTCACTTTAGTCTCTATATTATTTTATTTCTTTTCTCATTTAAACTTGTTTTTTTGCATTTACTTAGTTATGGTGTCTGTGCATGTGTACAAGCCATGACCCATATATGGTAGCCAGAGAACAGCTTGTGGGAGTCAGTTCTCTTCCTCTATCTTGTGAGTTCAGGATGCCACCTAAGTTGTTGGGCTTCACAGCCAATGCCTTTACATACTGAGCCATCTCACTGGTACCCATTTTATATATCTTCTGAGATTCTTGAAGTGGACATTTATCCTTTAAGCCATCAGTAAAACTATTTGGAGGGTATCAGTTAAGACAAGTTACTTGATGTGCCACTCAAAGCTCATTAAGCTGGAGGACCTCAGGACAGATTAGTAAAGGATCTTTGGTTTTAGTCTAACCTATGCTTGGTGTAGTTGATCTACTTCACAGAATTTGACTGAATTTTAGTTTCTAGCAGTTTTTTAAAATTCCACTTAGTAAAATGTAGAAATTTGCCTTCACTATTTCTAATTTTAAACACATTTTTGATGAACACCAGAGGGCATCCTTTGTGCCCCACCACCCTCCTCTCTCAGTATAGGTGATATTTGTAGTCAACTCTTCTAAAAGTCTGTCTCAAACTGCCAGATAATCCCTCTTGTCCCACCTGTTGATTACCTTTGAACACAAGCTCTTGAATAATCATTTTCATATACTTTATCGTGTATGACTCTCAAAACAGTACCAATTCCTCTATTAGATATGGGCTCAGTGTTGCTTTAATATCTTCTAAGAATAAGTCATTGAGAAACATAAATGTCAAGAGTTTTGCAGTTTGTCTTATGGGAAGCAGACACATACAGCCCTTCCATGGATGCATCTGCTTATTTAATTTTTTGGTTTTGTTTTTTGAGACAGGGTCTCCCTTGTAGCCCCAGCTGGCTTGGAGCTTACTATGTAGACCAGGTTGACCTAAGTCTCAGAGACTTACCTGCCTCTGCCTCCCAAATGCTGGGATTAAAGGCATGTTCCACTATGCCTGGCTGTTTATTAATTTTTATTACCCTCTGCCCAAGTTGAGGCAGATCCACTCTGCTTCTTGTTAGATGGATGTTTGATAAACAACAATGAACTGCAAAAACCAGTGAAAGAATACATTATTCAACATGGCCGTAGATGACTCTCTCAGAAGCTGAGCTGGAGCTAGATTCTCTCAGGCCCAGGTTCATTGTCTGTGGAGGCAGAGGCACTGATGTCACAACATCCAGCCTCCTGCACCTCCCCCCTTTCCCCTTTGCTTACTTTTCCATTTCTCCCGTTCCCCTTTCGGCTGCCAGTGTCTTAGACTTGCCCATGAGCACTTGTAGACTGGTGATTAGTTCATAGAACTAACTTGGGGTTGTGATTTTCCTGTTCAGTTTCTTCTTTGGGATTTATGTCAGTGGTATACCACTAAAACATTGTGGTGGTCATTTAGGGTGTGACTGTATTTTAGTCTGAAATTGAAAATCACAGCCTCATAGCTACATGTTTGCATCTGTATATCTTAAAGGCTCACAGCTCCTACATGGTATGGATTGAGTTTTTGAGTAACTTTTACTTAAAATATATTTATTGTGTCTTTTTCTACATCAGAAATGAGAATAAAGTAGTGACCAAGATTGAAAGTTCCCAGGCCTCTAATAGTGGGCACTGTAGAAGAAAATGGATCTCATAATTCATGCAGTCCCTAAATCAAAGAGAAAAAACAGCGATTGAAAACTGAAAGGGACTGTGTCTTTGCTGGGTTCTGAAGCGTGGCACAGCACAGGACAGCACACACAGGACAGCACAGCACAGCACAGCACCGCACTGACCTGAAAGACCAATGCTTAGAATCAGGTCTCTTCCACGTGGGAAATACATGCTGTTTGTTTTGTTTTTTCAAGCTAGAAATACTTAGCCCTTCTTTTCTTTGAACTTGTCCTATTCTGCTATTCTTAAGGATCTATCTCACCCCTGTGTAAGATTCAAACGTTAACACCACTATGCGGAGATTGAGCCTAGAAAATGCCTTGGAGGCATAAGCTGTGTGTGCTGCAGAAATGGTCCTTAAACGCTGAATGAAATTCAGCGCTTTGGAGCTCTGTGTATTGAGGTTTTAGGATCCTTCCTCCCCCTGCCCTTTTCTGGAGGAGGGAGAGGAAATTGAGGTGTCTGGGAAATAATCTTAACACACACTAGTCACATCATTGTCTTCTTTTCGGAAAGTTAATTTTCATATGATCTGGCGATCTATGAACATTTCAGTTGCTTGAACGGGTCTGTAAACTTTCTCATTTTTCCAACTCTCAAGGCGGTTTCTTCCTACTGACCTAATCCTCGCAAACCAGAAAAAGGTCAGCGTGCTTGTCCCTTTAACGATCTTGCTTCAGAATCTGTGAAAGCGAAGAAAAATTAAAAGCCGAGGAAACAGGGACGAAAAAGAGATCAGAGGAGATAGGAGAGGGCGCGGAGAAGGGGAAAGGGAGAGAGCGAGAAAATGAAAGAGCCCAGGATTGCAGGGGAGCTCTCGCCGAGCCGCCGCGGTGCTGAGCCGCCGGCGCCCACTGGCTCTCGGAGCTGCCAATCCGGGTGTAATCCTGTAGAATTTCTCCAGGGTTTATCCAGAGTGACTCTGCCGCCGGTTTCCCCCAGACGCGGAGAGGAACCCAGAGCAGCAGGCCCGGGAGGGTGGGTGGGAGCCAGGGAGCGTGAGAGGAGGTGGAGGCGGAGGAGAACCCAGGAGGAGGAGGCTGGGGAGGAGGAGGCTCGGGGAGGAGGGGGAGGGCTGGGAGGAGGACCCGGGAGGAGGCGGCGGCGTCCAGGAGGAGGGGCGCAGCGGCGGAGCCACTAGCCCTGCAGCGGAGCGCTGCTCTCCACATACTCCCGGAGCTCCGGCCGCGCGGGTCGCGCGTCCCCGCTGCTCTGCACCCCAAACTTCAGCTGCAGCTGGGTTTCCAGCCATCGAACCAGAAACTGCACCGCGACACTCGACAAGCGCAAGCAGTCCGCAGAGGAGTGAAAGCACAGGTCAGAGCACAGCCGGCTTAGGAGAGCAGCTTTCCGGAGCAGCAACTCCGGGCGAGCGCGGACACCAACAAGTGAGGAGGCGCCGCGTTCCGGGGGCACAGTGGGGACGGCGAGAGCAGGAGCCTGAGGACACAGAGAGTGCCTGGAGCAGGAGCCGGAGCCCGAGCCGCGCTACACTGCCTGCGGCTGCTCGGCTCCATCAATCGTTCTCCGCCGGCTGCGCCTAGCGCTGGGAAGGAGGCTTCGTTTCGTCCTGGTGGCAAGCCGCGTCTCCCGGGAATATGCAGCACGCGTGGATCCTGCTCACCTTGGGCTTGATGGCCTGCGTGTCGGCGGAGACGGTGAGTGGGCCGGGCGGGGGTAGTGCGCTTTTTTGGGTGTCCCGGCCACCGGAGGAGTCAGCGGGTAATCCCGGGGCGCCACCTGGGGGATCCGCCACCCCCAGGCGCTGCGCTGGGCCACTGGGGACCTGCTGGGAGACATACGCTTGCTCTTCTACGCCTTGCCCCTCGCCCTTTCCTTTCCGGTCCGGCAGAATTGAGCGGATCTCAGGAGTTGCCCCAAGTCCCCGGGGATGGGAGAGAGAGAATTGTCAAACCGCAGAGGCCCCTGAAGTCACTCTCAACTTCTTCGCCTTGGGGGATCTAGTGGTGTGGCTCAAGAAAGGACGGACTGGTGGTGACCAGGGCAAGGTCTAGGTGCTAGGGCTCCGGTGCGCTCCTTGGGCAAGCCCAAGGGATGCCTTGGAAACTTTGGGCGTCCCTTCCTCCACACACCATGTCCCTTCTCCGGGTTTCCAGCTCTACTGAATGCAAGCCTGGGGAGACAGGTCCCAGGTTGAAGAAATCCGCGAGTGTCCGGAGAGGAAAGTTTGTAAAAAGTTCTTTTGTTTGATGCACCCTGTTGCGGGCCAAGACACTGACACTGCGTGGAGACGCAGTCGGAGGGCTGGCGGGAGGCCCCGGCCTGCGTGGAGCTTGCGGGACCAGGGACCGGGATCCAGCCGCCCGAATGCCAGTCTTCCGAGGACCCTCCTAGCGGAGGGCAGCCCTTGGCTTCAGGAGAAAGAGGACATTTTAACACAAGTGGCCCTGGAGTGCGGCAAGCTCGTGAGGACAGGGTGCTTGTGACACTGTGCTCCGCTTCTTGGTGTCTGGCACTGGGGGATGAAGGCTTCCCTCCTGCCACCCTCTCGCTGGTACCGGTCTGTACATCTCACCCAGCATCCCAGGGCGGTGGGAACTCGATTTCCCTTTTGGGTCGCGTTTCTGGGGTTGAACCTTGTATCCCTGGGTTGCCCAGGGAGCGCCCTCTAATGGGAACTGCCTCCCCAATGCTCACCAGATCCTCAGCGGCCCCTACTTGGGAGCCCAGAGCTGTGTATTGGCAGGTGGACTCCAGTCATCTTCTATTGGCCTGCAGCCCCAGGGCTGCTTTCTCGGCTGGGGAGTGCTACTGTCTTATCCGTTCTTGTTCTCTGAACACCCTCCTTTACCACTTAGTAACTTGCTCAATTCTGTGTAATTAAATGGTCCCTTCCAACACCTTGTGCATCTTCAGCTGGGCCTCTGAGTCCCCTTTCCCTTTTCAAACTGTGGCGATTTGGAATTGGGAAACCATTTGGCATCCGGTGGCAGATGAGCATCTGTGATCAGTGGGGGCGCTGCTGTGTGGACCAGCAAGTACTTTGGTTGCTTGACGCTGGAGCCCTTAGAATTGGAAACTGCATAGCATAAATGGATATTTGGGCGATTGCGTTATAAAATACAACTTCAAGACTTATTGGTGTTTCTCATTGGCAAAAGACATTGAATCCGTTGGAATTAGTAATCTCCCAGCTAGTTATGAACTTTGGCTTGCTGTACACAAAAGGGGACAGATTCTGCGTTTACTTCAGAAAAACATTACTTTGCTCATCTGTTGCAAAACAGGTCAAAGGAGCAACTTAATTAAAAAAATTTTTTTTCCAGAGAAATGTCCTACAAAGCTGTACTGGCTTGGGGAGACCTTTTTTTTTTTTTTTAAGTGAGAAAGATTTATTTTTCCCTCAAAGAATACATACACATATGAACAAGGCAGGATCTTGAGTTTGAGGGTAGCCTGAGTTACATAGCAAGACTCTGTCTCAAACCAGACAGACAGGCCATGGTAAGTTCAGAGGAAATGCTATCGTTTGGAGATTCTGGAGAAATAAAAGCCCTTTGGAGTTTCTGCATGAGTGTGAGAGCCTTTTTTAAAGAAAGGTTTTTTTGTTTGTTTGTTTGTTTTTTGTTTTTTTAAATCTTGTTTTTTTTTCCTTCCCTGAAATGTACCTGTCTCTTCTTCTAGACCAATTTCCTCTGAACTTGGTATATTTTGGACTCTAATATTTTCTCAGTTTGAACCAGAATTGAATGTTTTCTGAGTGAGCGGCTTCACTGGAAAGACTGTTTTCAGCCTTTGGACTATGGTCTAAAGGGTGATTAGATATTTTAAAAACGTCAACTTGAGACTCCTACATGGAGCCTTTGTTGGGCAGTGAGTCAGTCTTTCTCAGTAGAAGCTGTTTCAAAGCCCAAAGTGGCTAATAGTCCATCTAAGTTACCTTTCTGTATCTATTTGTTTCATCTATGGGAGCATCAATCAACCTGAACTTGAAAGATTTGATGTTTTTAAAAAGTTTAGCTGTTATAGAACATTATCTCCAGTACTTTAATTTTAATTTGAAAACCACAACAGTGTCCTAGGATTTAGAAATAGTGATTTTCTGAGCTCAAAGACTCTCTTTTAAGAAGAAAGGAAAAATACCTGCAGTTAGTGAATTCTTGAGTTTTCTACTTAGGTTACAGAGGAGAAAACTTGGCATGTACTTAGGCTCAAAGCTGTTTGGGGAAAGGAACTGGTAGCCTCTCCTTATGGATGCAGGGAAGCCATTCATGCTTTCCCTTGGCAGCTTGGGGATTTTACTGTCAGGAGGATGGTGAAGGCAAAGGCTGACTGAGTGGGGCAGTAATGACATGCGGCTAGGCCTTCTGTCCATTTTTTTTCACAAGACTTCTTATCTTTAGATGTAATATAGTACAGACTGCTATAAACACATACTTTTGAACTGGAAATATATTTAAGGAAAAAGTATTTTTGAACTAGTGGAATTTTATAAACATGCTTAGATGTCTGTAAATGAAAAGAAACTGTCAAGTCATTTGGAGCTACGGGTTACCTCAAAAGGCATTATGAAAGCCAGGTTCTGCAAAGTTTGCATTAGAAGGGAAATTAAAACTGGAATACTAGAGCTTTTGGCAGTTCTTTAAAAAATGTTATTTTGTGGGGCTGGAGAGATGGCTCAGCAGTTAAGGGCACTGACTCCTCTTGCAGAGGACCCGGGTTCAATTCCCAGCACCCATATGATGGCTATGAACGGTCTTTAACTCCAGTTCTGGGGGAATCCAAAGCCCTCTTCTGACCTCTACAGTATTTCATGACACAGGTGCACTCACATGCAGGCATTATACTAATAAAATAAAAATAATAAATAAAATATTTTTAAAAATGTTTTTTAAAAAGTATTTTGTCTGTTCTAATGGGACAAATTACTTATGCTGGAGAGTTTGATAGAAACAAGGACTCTTTATCTTTTGGTTTAATAATGGCAGTAGATAAATGTCATTTAAGAAGGAAAGCTTGTGGATCTCTGTGAGTTCAAGGCCAGCCTGGTCTACATAGTGAGTTCCAGGACAGCTGGGGCTATAGGGAGACCCTGTCTCAAAAACACCAAAAAAAAAAAGGAAAGCTCTATAAAACCAAACCAGGCAGACAGAAGATGGTTGTCCACAAGGAATCTGAGCATACCCTTCAATGCTTGCTTGTGGGACCTGGTATATCTTTTTATTTCTTTTTTAAAAATATTAACCAATAAGTAGTAATTTTACATATTTATGAGATATTCTGTGATATTTTGATACATGGGTACATGTATTCATTATGCATTATGTAATTCAAATATTCAAATCAGGGTAGTATATTATGTTTGATCTGTCATTCAACAGGCAGCCTACCCATGGACTGTGTTATATGATTGCTCAAATAGCACTTTGGATAATCATTAGTTGGGAAAGGACTTTAAAAAGTCAACTAGTTTTTCCCAGAGCAGAACTTGTTTTCAAGCCTCTGGGAGTCCCCACAGACCTGATCAGTGGTAACTTGGAGTATCCTTGGGACAGTCAGGCCCGAGGCTGACTTGGCCACACGGAGCCCAGCTGGCTCTGTCATTAAGGTTTACTGCAAGTCTAGTCAAGCCATTGTGCTGTTGGCATGTCTGCTGGATGTGACCCAGCTGGTCCGAGGAGGAATGCCTCCAAACTGAGGTTCCCACCAGGCTGTCCTTCCTCTCCTGCCAGAAAACCCAGTTACAAGATCTCATCCATCATTTTTTTCCTATTCAAGGCAGAACGAAGAATTGCCATTCATACCTGTGCTAACAACATATTTCACTATAGCAAAGTCATTTCTTTCTTTCATGGACTAGAAGCCAAAGTAAAGCCTCAGAGGAACTCAGGTTATAAAAAAGAACCTTTGCTGAAAACAAGATCATCCTATCTATGTAGGCCATTGTACCAGTGAATCATTTTAATTCTAGTCCCTTGGATTTGAGGTTTGAGGAAATCATTGACTCATTGATCATGGTTTCCATCCATATTCATCTGCCTCTAAACCTACCTGTGCATTCACTTACAATTTATTCAGCAGACAATCCTCCTGCTTGGTGCTGTGGATTAAGCAATGGAAAACCTAAAATCTTTTTTGCTTTCTTGGAACTTTTATTCTAGGGATCCAGATAGTTTTTCTTTTTTGGGGATTTGCCAGCTTATATATCTATGTTAGTAGCAGTATAGTTAGGATTCTTGGCCTAGTGCTGGCCTGCTCTGTGGTTTGACCTTTATTATTTTGTTTCCTTTAATGTTTTAAATTTTTTATTTGCTATTTTTATTTTATCTGTATGAGTGTATTGCCTGCAGTGTGTAAATGCACCCGTGTTGTGCAATGCCTGTGGAGGTCAGAAGGAGGCATTGGATTCTCCCAGAACTGCAGTTATGTACAGCCGTTAGCTGCCATGTAGGTACTGGGAATCGAACCCAGGTCCTCTGTAAGAACAACCAGTGCTCTTAACTGCTGAGCCATCTCCCCAGCCCCTGCCCTTTACTACTTTGATCACATTGCCAGTGGTCCAGAAACTTCCCTGTGTCCTTGTTGTCCTGGTGTAGAGTCTGCATGCCTTGGCTGGATTTGTAAGCTATTTCATGCTGGTTCCAATTTCCACCCTTCTTTCCTGGTCACTGTCATGATCAGTCCTTAGACATAGCTA